TGTATACAATAATTTCTGAATTTGCAGAATATTGTTATCATATAGATAATAGTTGATGAATGCAAATTAAGCTACAGACTCGTTTTTGTTATTCGATATATGCACAATCCAAAATACGCTCTAGTAGTTGCTTGGATTTTCTTAGGAAATAGTAAAAAAGAATCATGCATGTTTATGTTTATTATATATAGTATTAAAACATTGTTAACCACATTTTAACCAGTAAATATGAATTAAACGAAATGATTTTTTTAACAGTTTAGTATACAGAATTCAGAGAATAAAAACATAATTTCCAAGAAACAAAATTTAAAAAAAAACCACGACAAAACAAACGAACTAAAATTCAGGATCGATCTTTCGTTTACATGTTTACATTTGCTTCAAATTGTCAGCGCTTGAACTAAAAAAATATTTTGTGTTACTTGTCCTGTCTATACTTCATAATAAACCAAAGATTGATTTTATAAGTTTTATTGCTACTCTATATATTCTGTGTGTATAAATCATGACGAAATTGTTTTGCACACACTATTTCATGACATTTTACAGATGTAAAACAAATCTGACTGCGTCATTTATGAGATGAATGTCAATAAATTTGGATATTTATTTCCTTTTAGTTAATTAAATTTAGGAACAGATGTCTTTAATCTTTTTAATCCAACTACTTAATATGTATTCAGAGAGTAAAAAATAATAGCATGCTAAGTCTTTTTTTATCATATATGACATTTGAAAATTAAGTTGAATGTATTATATGCCATATCTTAAAACCGCTTCGGACGCATGCAATTTATAAAGTGTTGTTTTCATTTTTTACAGCACTGGGTCGATACCGCTGCTGGTGGACTGTCAGTCCCCCCACGGTATTATCAGCTCAGTAGTCAGTACTTCGACATTGACATGATTTATAACAAACCTTTCTTAATTGTCTGTTTAGAAATTAAGAAATTATTAAGACACTAAGGTTTCGACTCCCTATGGCAAAGTTGACCTTAGATGGATTTGGCTATTATTTTAAGGTCTTTTTTTATCATATCGCTCTTCAACTTTTTCGGTTCTCCTGACTTGGAACACCCACATACAGAATGTGGCGGGGTTAAACATGTTAGCGGGCGCACAACCCTCCCTCTTACCTGAGGTCTTTTTTGTTCGAATAGCTCCCCAACTGTTTCGGTTCTTATACATTCTTGGCTTTTAAATATTCGGCTTTGAGAGTTCCTGATGAAGATAAATCCAGGAATGTGTTTCGACCGCATGTAATTTATAAAATGTTGTTTTCATTTTTACAGCGTTAGGTCGATACCGCTGCAGGTGGACTACCAGTCTCCGATGGTATCATCACCTCATTAGTCAGTACTTCGGTACTGATATGATTTATAACAAAGTTTTCTTAAATTGTCCATTCATAAATTAAGAAATTATTAAGTAACTAAGATTTCAACTACCTTAGGCAAAATTGACCATAGATGGATCTGGCTATTGTTTCTATGTCCTTTTCGGTTCTTATAGATTCTTGGTTTTCAAATATTCGGCTTTGAGCGTTCCAGATGAAGGTAAATCCAGAAAAGTGCTTCGACGCATGAAGTTTATAAAGTGTTTTTTTTTCATGTTTTTTTTTTAACCAAAGGATATTTACAGTTGACAAAATGAAAACTAGTATTGGAAGGAATCGTGTAACGCAAAAAAAAACATACTAGTAGCCATTTTTAGGGAAATCATTACAGAAGCAAAAACAATGATGTGATTCTGCAGAACATTTCTTAAATGAACTGAAGAATGAATTGAGGCATACCGATAAGTAATGAAACATTAAAACTGTAATCATTAAAACCTGAGTAAATGCTTATATCATGACTAAGTCGCCAAACTTTCAAAACAATGACTTTGTACAACAATTTAATAATATTCCAGCAAATATTTAAAAGGCAATATCATACATTTATGCCCAAATGTCTGTAGCACTATTTTAGTTGAGACGACGGGAAAAATGTAATACACAACAATTGTTTCCGTTGTCTACATTTCATTGGTTATACATGTACGAGTAATTACGTATTTGTGCGATTTCCTAACTAAATATAATTGAAGAATTTGACCTTATGTTTTGCAATGACACCGATTAATACATAAGAGAAAGAAAAACGCCTACTTTACTTTATTTGATCAAAATTGATTTCCTATTGTTCGTCTGTGAACGATTTTTTGGTATGCATTGCTCTTGAATAAAAAGTTCAGAAACACCTGTAGTTCTGTCTGTGAAAGCTAACTTAGTGCACACGTATGTCCAAAGATTATTTAATGGACATGTGTTTCGAGTGCACAAGAGTGTCAATATTACAAGCGTGTAAAAAACTTATTCAGTGCACAATATTATTGAAAAAAATATAGTGCACAAGCGTATCGAAAGTTAATTCAGTGCATAAGCGTGTCAAAAGCTAATTTAGTACACAAGTGTGTCAAAAGGTCATACAATGCACAAGCATTTCGAAAGGTAACTGTTTAGGTTTTTATACATCATTGGCCTTCAAATATCTGGCTTTGCGCGTTCCCTGATGAAGTTAAATCCAGAGAAGCGCGTCGGAAGCATTCATTTATAAAGTGTTGTTTTCATTTTATAATACAGTATACAAGCGGTTCGAAAGCATAATTTAATTACTTTCTGAAAAGGTGTTGGTGTGTGCTGTTTTTATATTGGCATTAATTTAAGAATTGAATGCTTCTTTTTGTAGTTTTATTGGGTGTAACAGGGTTTATTGTTGCGCATTTTGTCCGGAAAATGTACTTACAGTCAACGAGATATGTACTTAAATTGGTTATACATGATTTTATTAATATATAGTTTTAGACTTTGATTTCGTTAAAAGCACAATACGATTATATTTTTGTCACGACTAATGGAGTATTTGATGTATATCAGTGACACCGTCAGGTTCCCCTTATGGTTGCCCCTAATTGAAACAACAAACAAATCTTTATTCTCTTGAATTACTTCCTTTTCTTAAGAATATACCCTTTTATGGATTAAATCTTGACCCTATCTAAATAGTGTTTATGTGATTAAGTCTTGTGTTCTTTTATGTAGGCTAAGTTCCAAATTAAATTTTAATAGCCCACCATATATAAATATAGGTGCGAATTTAATTATATCAGTCCTTGTTGTTTGACTTGTATGGTTTTGAAAATGGATCAACCAAATTAATTTGACTTCAGCTTAATAACCAATCAAATAAAATGTCGAAGAAGGAAACATGTTTCAGCAATTTGAACGCCACTTGAATAGCTGGGGAAGTCTAAAGGTTTTAAGGAAGGGTAAGCAGTTCTTACTTTTTCATGACTTAAAACTCTGGCCTGAAATCATTACCAAATTACAAAAAAAAAAACAACGTGATTTTGAGGACGAAAATTAAATCACTTGCTTATGATATGCATCTTATTTTTTTTTATTTCTTTTATTACTATTATTTTGTAGGTAGAAAAGATGCATATACCATGCCGCAAAGTAAGAGAAATAGTTGTGTAGAAGCTTTAGGATTGCAGAAGCAACAGTGTTCAAATGTTAATCACCACGAGCAACACAACAGGTGCCACCCCCGGTTTTTGATGGGGGTTCGTGTTGCTCAGTCTTTAGTTTTTCTATGTTGTGTTTTGTATGCTGTTGTTTGTCTTTTGGTCTATTTTTTCTTGTTTGCCATGGCGTTGTCAGTTTATTTTCGACTTTTATGTCCGTCAGATATGGTTCACCTTACCTTGACCTCATTTCATAGGCTAGTGAGAGACGTTGTAAGTTTTTTGTGGTAGTCTATTTCTACCCAAGGAATAGATTACCTTAGCTGTATTTGGCAACCCTTTCGGAAGTTAAGGTCTTCAATGCTCTTCAACTTCGTACTTTTTTTTGTCCTTTTTAACTATTTTGATTCAGGCGTCACTTATGAGTCTTTTGTGTACGAAACGCGCATATGCCGTCCAAATGTTAATCCTGGTATCTATGATGAGTTTATTCTCATATACTTTAAGAAATTAGTTAGTAATGTCCGTTGTACGGAATGATTGTAAGGTGTGCATGTCTGTCTGTCATTTGGCATTGGCCTCATTTTCATAGTTTATTGGTCAACGCTATGTTTGTGGTTAGTTCTGTTTCGCAGACACTATACGCAATAGGTAAACTATGTTTGAAGTATGAAATAGTTGAGAGGTGTACATTCCGTCTTGCAGAGTTCATCTGACCTTGACCTCATTTCTATGAATCATTGACAATGTTAAGTTTATGTGATATCTGTAGTTAAAAAACATTTAACATATAACTCAATCATGGCCAGTAAAGCAGACATTTCAGCTTGTGCACCTTTGTTAAGAATTAATCCAAGAAGTAACAAATCATGAAAATATATCTTGGCAATTTCATCCAGTATTATCAAAGAGCAATAGTTAGGCTATTCAAAAGGGATGAAAAGAAACCATTTGTGGAAAAATGATTAAACAGATACATTGTCAAAAGAAAACGGTAAAAAGGTAAACAATGGTACGCACAATTAATCAACACTATTTTTCATCGACATTGTTCTGTACTTTGTGCAACCGATTATCCTTTTAAAAAGCGAAAAATTTATTATTTTGAAAAAATTAGTTGAAAATATCGTATCTTGAATCATGGATATTTGATATAAATTTGTAACAAAAATTAGTATCCTATCATATGATCGTCACTTGCTTTCATTTATCCGTTATTTCAAACAAAAAAACAGCATACAATTTTATGATACATTCGAAAAGTTGTATCAAATAAAATATCTAACATAAAAATGTCAATATATGCCACCATTTTTTTCACATTTTTTACACCAAAATATTAAAATGTAGGTATATGTTGAATAAACATAAGCTAAGTAATCTGACTGAATAAAAACCAAAATATTTCCCTGTACATTACCTTTCTCGCGGAAAACATTCCAAATAAAAATGTGGCTTTTGCAGTAAAAGAAGGACGGAAAATTGAATTAGCTTTTATTACAACTCTCCCAAGGCCACGAATCCGAATAATCACAATAAAATATCATAAAGATACCATTCTCCTTGCTTACAGGAACCATGGGATCAGAGAAGTCCCAAATGTCTCCTGCAGCATCCCCATACGTCTCTCCATACATCAAAGGTGATTGGGCTGTAGCATTAATCACTCCATCACATGAAACATATGTCGGCTTCGAACCTGATCCTCTTTTCAAGCACTTAGGTTTACACATCCGACCACATGTATCTGAAGCTGAAATAAATGCTGTAACTGGTTCTGTATCGTTTGGACCAGGCTTTTTGAATGCAATATACCCGACATGTGACGAGATAGGTAAGCGATTGTCTACCATAACATAGTCTTCATACCAACCATTGTAACTAAGTCCACGTGATACGAGATTGATCCTAAAAGCGCCAGAATTGTCTTCCATACAAGTATCATACATGGCGGGAGAACCGGGTTTTATATGCGTTTTTAAGCTTCTGTAGTTACTCTCGTTATACATGTCTGTATCTTGTATTTTGCCATTTTCAATTATATGAGCTGACATTTTGACTTCTTGAGGTCTTAAATGGATTACCTTGATAGCCATAAAAGCCCATGCTCTTATATCTTGAACGCAATCTATTTCAAATGCATTTTGTATTGGGGAACCCAAAGCAACCTCCTTTGGAACGTTAAGTTTGACTTTCTCATAACTCTTTTGACTTTGTTCAGGAGATTCCTGTTCGCCAAGCTTACCTAATAAAACCTTATATGTGTCTCGTTTACCTCTTTTTAAGTAGAAATCCCATGGATTAAAAGAGTTAAAAGTTGGATATTGAAAAGACAATGCTTGATTACTTTTTGAAACACAAATTTTCCTTCTTGTGTCACATTCTAGCCATTTTGAGCCACAGTCTAAAGTTGGGAAACTACATGTTGGAGGAGGGTCATAAAAGTAAAATTTATCTGTCCAATAAGAGAGATAACCATCCTTATTCCTTAGTTTTCCAAATCCTGGTATTGGTGGAAGACTGTCCATTGGTCTATCTGGGTGCTGTAAGAGATCTCCGGTGGTGGGGTAGTCTTTACTGGGATCTATCTTATATCCAATTTGTTGTTTCCTGAATATTTCCCACAGACAGTCAATAAAGGCGTGGTGCATAAAGAAAATTGGATCCATTGGTGACGTGGCTATATCAAACATTTTACCACCAATCCACATGTGAACCTGATCATGTAATCCTTCCAAACTATGCAGCACATTCTGCGAAGGTTCACATATTTGGTGATTATAACGTTTTGACAGGATATTCAAGACAGTACGTTTTGTCAATAATTGACCAGTACTACCAATATTTCTCATAAGGGGACTACCGTCAATATTCATCCAACGCCTGAATGGACCAGTTTGTACTTGTCCATCCCCATTGCCCATAAAGTGCTTGCTCCATATGATGGAATTTTCAGGCATTGTTGACATGGCGGAATCTAAAGTAGAGTCCCAATATGGCAGACAAACACCAGGTACTAATTTTCGTAACGAATATTCATACCTGAAAAATAAAGTACATTTATTTTATTTGAAGTATTAATAGAAACTAAACTGGAAATTTTAAGAACTATGTAAGCTCCAACACAAAATCAATCAGCAAAGTTAACTTTAAACCTGTTAATAAATATAAAAAGTAGATATACAAAGTAAACAAATGTCTGTTTGTATCGAATGATTTTAAAAATCAACATGCGTATGAAGAGATGCATATTTAGGCAACGATTTGACACTTTTAACATAGAAAGATTATTTTTCATTTGTTATCCTTTCTTTTGAAATATGAATCTTAAAGTGAACGTGTTTTACTGCCTCTTTAAGTCTTACGCGGTATACACATTTTTGCAACTTTTTGTTGTTGTATTGAAGCAATGATAACAAATAGACAAATGACAGAAAGTACCAATCTCAAAGAGAGGCAAAAGATACCAAATGGACATTCAAACTCATGAGTCGAAAATAAACTAACAACGCCATGGCTAAAAAAGAAAAAGATAAACATACAAACAACATATACAACTAAAGACTGAGCAACACGAATCCCACCAAAAACTAGGGGTGACCTCAGGTGCTCCGGACGAGTAGGCAGATCTAAGAGTACTCGCAGTTATTGAAAGCTAATTCAAAGCCAAATTCGCAAATAAATAAAGCATGTTCCCAAAACCAAAATATGATTTAGTATACCTCCATGGAATCTGATTTAAGATGTCATAAGTAGTCTGAGAAATGCTTGACCTTTTGCAATGCCAATATATAAGTATTGACAATGTGTACGACCCCAAGTGTTGATAACTGAATAGCAAAGTTGACCTTAAGTTAATTTTAGTTAAGAGTTTTCCGCATCAAACTGAAATAGCCAAATCAAGAAAAGGTCAATTACTGCTGTTCATATTAGATTTATTAAAAGTAAGTTTCCCGTCGTCCAATTAAATAACTTTTTGTTATTATCATCAAGGTAAAGTAAGTGCTATTTTTTTTAAATATTAAATGGAATTTATATGGATCTTAACTGAGTTCGGCCATAAACTGTGATTCATAACAATACTGTAACAAGTTTGCAATCAAAGGACACAACCGGTGTCCATAGAAATACTTACAAGCTTTCGATAAACTTTATTTGCGAAACGTACCTAAATGTTCTCAACCACCTCATCACAGTTCCAGCAAATATATGTAGCACATTTATCATTAACACCACAACAGAGGCTCTATATGAGATTCAGCAAATGAATTTATTTTCAAGCCCGTCGGACGGACCACTTAAGTAAACCAGAAAACCGCTGGCCGACAAGGCAATGCGGAAGTGTAGTACAGAGCGCCGAAATGCCAGAACCGTCAACCAAATCCAAAAAACCACCAAAAGCACGCAATTGACCAAAAGCATGCAAAACCATAGAGTCTCTTACACAGTATATTGGCATGTACCTATTTCTTTTTGTTTTTGTGTCGTTGCGTTTATGTCTCATCTACAAATTATACCCCGATGGTTTTTATTTAGGCACACTTACATATACAAAATGCGGCAAAATAAGGGGATAAAGACTGGAAGCTATCCATATCAAATTTTTAGTTTATTCTTTTAAAACTTGTTGAAGAATCTAAATAATGAAATATATTTTCCTTTTTTGCAACACAATATTTCGACGAATACAACATTGTCTTGCTTGTCAAGGATTTTGATGAACATGCAATATTTTTATACATTTCTTCATAAGGAAATGCCTGTACCAAGTCAGGAATATGACAGTTGTTTTCCATTCGTGTGATGTTTTGAACTTTTGATTTTGTAATTTGATAAGAGATTTTCCGTTTTGAATTTTAATTGGAGTTCGGTGTTATTGTTATTTTTTTTTAACCAACATATATATTCAGATCTACTATAACATTGTTAGATTGATTTTCTAGCCACTTTATAAATATTCTAACGCCTGGTATTTCTAAATAATAAGAAATCCGATCTACAAGGTATAATTTACAGTTGTCACTACGCATAGGCAGACATATCTCATTATAAATTCATAGTTTGCTTCTAAAAATAGAATAGCATCCTGTTATCATACTGAAGAGATGAGTATATGATCATTCCTGTACACTTGGAAATACTTCGTGTATTGCAATTAGATGTCCTTGTTTAATACCAATAAGGGTAACACCTCCCGAAACGAAAGATGATTTGTATCAGCTGTAGTTAGAGAAGGGGATAAGGCGTCCGCGCAATGCTTAGGCGGTGTTGTCGTAGAAGTGAGAATTGAAAAGTACAGGTTCCAGCCCGCTCAGGGAGGAAGTACAGAATCAGATCTACTTTAACATTGTTAGGTTGACTTTCTAGGCAATTTATATATGTATAAATATAATTCGTCAACATCAGCCCAACAACGTTAGATTTGTAAATTTGCTTTCGCAAATTTTTTGTTCTTCCCTCGCCGGGATTCGAACTCATGCATGAGTTCGAATCCCGGCGAGGGAAGAACAAAATTTATATATATTCATGCATGAGTTCGAATCCCGGCGAGGGAAGAACAAAAAATTTGCGAAAGCAAATTTACAGATCTAACATTGTTGGGCTGATGTTTAGACGAATTATATATATATATATATATATATATACATAACATGTTTTTACTCACTTTTAACACAAGTTGTTGCCCATTGTCCAGACTGGTTCTTAACCGGACAAAATGGACTGCTGTCCATGCAAATTATGATAAGTTGAAAATGATTTTTAGGGTTTTAACTATTCTTAATGAAAGCATAACTATTGATATCAAAGGTTAACAAACGATCAAATGCAATTTAAAGGTTTGAAAACTTAAAGATAATATACATTACGCACATATATATGTGCTTATAGCGATGGCTCTTCGTTGTCGAGGACAATTTATGTCCCATTCAAGGGAAACTAATCATACAAATGGATCTCTAATTACAGGGTCAAGTACAGAATTGGCAAATAGACTATTCTTGATACCGACTATAAAACTTCTTAAGTGTGAATATCTATATAGTTTGATTTTTATTATAAGCCTGTTGTTTGTAAACAGTTTCGCTACGTCAGGGAAATTATGATATTAATGTCATATGAAAGTTCAAATTTAAGAAAAAAAGTTGAATATGTTTAATATACTTGAATGGCTATGTTTTACTATTAAATACGTGTACGTGAATTTCCTTGTAAAAGAAAATCCTTTATCTTATCAAAATCCTCATAAATGTACTGCTATTGTGTGTTCCCGTAATCAAACAGCCGATATTTTCCCGTATCCAGTGACCTTAACTATCAGACCTTTCGTGAGAACTTTGGCCCCCGCACAGCGCAAGTGCGAGCGGAAAACTTGATGAAAGAATGTAAACAAACGTGCAGTGGAAGGTAATTAGTAATAACTGATTCTAAAAGAACATATTAAATACATCAATAAAATTGAGAATGGAAATGGGGAATGTGTCAAAGAGACAACACCCCGATTAAAGAGCAGAAAACAGCCGAAGGCCACCAATGGGTCTTCAACACAGCAAGAAAATCCCGAACCCGGAGGCGGGCTTCAGCTGGCCCCTAAACATAAATGTGTACTAGTTCAAATCTTTTAACAACTGTTAAGGAAAAATTTAATTATAAAAAAAAAAATCATGGCGCTATCTATTAACTCATTTTTCACGTTGCTCTGCGTTAATTGTTTATCAATGTCTGGACCCGGTAAACTTCGGCAACACACTCGCAAGTTAATTAGCTTGTGATCAAATATCACTGAATAAAATATAATCTGTCGATAATACGTTATAGATTCGTAATAAATGTAAAAAGAACGTGCATACAGGACTTAGTTTGGTATATATGCATGCATTGGTTCAATAATTTCGATAACATTATGATTACAAGAAACACGTTTCATATGACTAGCATCATGAGTAGCAATCTGACTGTAAATTATAAAGCACCTCACATATACGCGAAATAGGTTATCTGGAAATTAAAATCATCACATTTGTCATATCACAAATAAATACAAGAGAATGTATTGGCTTATGGGGTGCTTTTATATATAATTGTTTTGATGTTTACTTTTTTAGGTGTATCATTAGAATTATCTTATTTAATGTTGAAACAACAAATGATGGTAAACACTCTTCTTTTTTTAGACATCTATTCACAAATATTTTAATAAATGATTTTTCTTATCAGTTTGAAGTAAAATATTTTTTTGAAATACTCACATGATCAATAAAATTCTATGCCATCCATAAAAGTTAGGTCCTCTGTGAGCAGATTTACCTGACATTCCGCTGTGGAAGATCACAAATCCATCGTAGCGATTCGGCCATATACTCTGGAAACAGACATAAGAAGGTAGAATTTATTCAAATTTGAGAAACTGTAACCGTTTTTGCTGTCACCATAAAAATATTTAAATGTATTTAAGAAAAGGAAAACAATTTAAGCAGTATTATGATTTTAGTTTTTTAACAGAAAAAACAAATATAAGAGCATATCAAATTTCAAAAAAAAGAGAAATATGAAGATTTTACACTTGCAGTATTCATTGAGAATTGCACGGGTAAAAAAGAACAAATCTATAGACGCAGCAGCTATGATCAATAGCATTAAAAAGTAAATCTGCTGGATTCAATACTACAAACATACATAATTATGTTAAAATTTTTGTGATTAATAATGCTATATCAGTTATCTACAAAATGATCAGAATTCTATGTAATGCTTATTAAATTTTCAAATCATTCTGTATTTTTTTTAAAAGAAGATAAAAACAGTAGTATTTCAAATATTGCCAGAAAGGCGCTTCGGACGCATAGAATTTATAATGTGTTGTTTTCATTTTTTACAGCACTTGGCCGATACCTTTGCTGGTGGACTTTCAGTCCCCAAGGGTATCATCAGCTTAGTAGTCAGTACTTTGGTACTGACATGATTTATAACAAACCTTTCTAAAATTGTGAGTTTACAAATTTTAGAATAGTAAAAAAACTAAGGTTTCAACTCCCTCAGACAAA